TCAACCAATAAATCGACATAATTGCCTTCAATATAAACCAGTAGGAAAGCATACCATATTTTAAACTCATATGATGACATTGATTTTTTAATTTGTAATACATTGAATTTTCTCATTACCTCATCGATGATGAACGTCAAACGTGGTCAGAAATTATTATGAGAACTTCATCGTTTTATTTTAACCAAAACGAATGAGATCATCAAGAGAAAAGAATAATGATTTGTCCATTTTCTTCTTTTCTCTTTCTATTCATCTTTGATCTTCTTATTTTTTTTTTTTTGTATATAAACAAGAAGAAAAAATTTGTTCATATTCCAGAATATATATATGTTTTTTTTTTCTTCTATATTTAGATTTAATATGCCAATATCAACTGATGATTTACGAAAAGAATTTCTTACATATTTAAATCAACCTGAATCATGTGAATTATTTTATATATATATGAAATCTGAACAATTAGCATATATACTTGAATTTTATTTAGCATGTGATGGTTTAAAAAATATAATTGATGATAAAAAAATTCAATCTTCTATTATTAAACTTATTTATAAACATTATTTATCAAATGGAAAATTATTATCATCATCAAAGATATTTTCTTTACCAGATTATTTACTTTCATCTATAAAACAATGTTTAATTAAACATGAATATCATAGGAAATTTTATGAACAAGCACAAGAATATGTACTTAAATATATGTTACAAATGTGTTATCCAAAATTTCTTATTGAACAACAATATTTACCTGAAACAAAACGACAAGCTTTAACTACATCAAAATTTACTCCTATGCATAGACGTTGTATATTTACAAGAAAAAAAGATGTTTTTGAAAAATTAAAACAACAATCAAATTCGTCAATTAACAACAAGTTAGATTTTTACTTAATATTTCTTACGCTTCCAATAGATTAATCGTTTAGACTAAAATTCTCAGGAATAAATGACCTTAATGAAATATACTTTCAGTAAAAACTTCCGTTCGATATATCAAACCTCGAGCTTACTCATAGTCTGCTTATGGCTTCCAGGAGATTCTCCGAGTCCGAGCTGATCTCCAATTAAAGTCAATAACAGAAATTGGATTGCCATTTCTGTTCATTTTTGTAATAGGTACAGAGATAAAATAAGCAAAAACAAAAAAATCTGTTAATATCTTATCCTTTTGCTATAAACCGCATATAATCTGCAAGAGAAAATTTCGGTATATTTTCCTATGGTAAAAAGTCAATTTCAATATATTTTTTTTCGAAAGCATTTCGAATCTATTTTAGACAAATAACTCATTAAAAAGAAAAAATTCAGTGTGAAATTTCACATAAAAGATTTCTGATTAAATGAACTCTATTAGATGTGACAAGAAACAGGATGAATATTAATTAATGATCTTTTTTTCTTTTTCCAGTTCTACTGCACCTATTAAAATGACAAGTCAACAGCCAATCAACCTTAGGTGAGTTGTGCTAATTCAATTCTGTCAATTTTGAAAAAGAAAAAAAAAAAAGGTGTCATCATTAAACCATATGTCACATATATTTAAAGAAAAAAAAA